AAAAGATGATGGTGACATTAGATAGAGAAAGCTCTGAAATATTGTTGATCCAAATTGCAGCTTTCGGACGTTTTCGGTAAATTTGCTACAATTTTCTAACGCCGGTTTGAGTTATTCACTATGGGCAACACCTCGACTGAGCGTCAATTTCCTTTTAATTCGTAGCTTAATGGAAATGGAAAAAACGTTCATATTCTCGCGATTTTAAACAGAACTCATTGGTCAACAGGTGTGGAAGTCTACAACTTTTCCATAACTTTCGCCAATTTTTGTCGTTTCTTAACACAACTCACAGATTTGGGAGCGTTTTTAGTTTAAAAACTATCAATTTCCAGAAAACTGGCTGCTCTGCAAGCGATCCTACCTAAAGACCCAGACGAACAAAAGGCATACTTATACGAAACAATTCGCAAAGAAATGGTGCCAGTTAACAGAAGCGACATTGAAAGAATCGTGTATTACCTAACAGAGGTAAGTTAAGAAACAACAGGATTGCAACTGTAAAGAAGGGTATTTTTCCAGGGTATCGATCCTAAGGACATACCGCCTTACAATCAGCATCTGCTGGATAGAGCCGGACTGAAAATCCCGGAAAAGTACCAAATCCTTAAATGCTTCAAGCAAATGCAATCGTCCCATCTATCCGAAGTAATCAAGTGGTACTGCATTTACATGCGCTACAACATGCTCTTTTACGTGCTGCATGATCCTGCCGAATGGAAGAGGCTCAGGCTGGAAAGTAGCCCGAAGTTTTTTCCAGTGCTGATGATTAGAGCGCCCGTAACGTGGCATTCCCAGTACTGCATCAGTCGACAGTACTTGGAAAGGCACTACTTTAACGGAAATATCATTGTAAGGAAAATTAGGGATTTGTGGTTTGAAAGGTCTGGGAAAGTCGCATTTGTTTCCGCATCAAATAAACGTTGTCGAATTGCCTTGCAGATATAATGAGATGCTTATTTTGCCATTGACTACTCTAGTGAGTCAGTTCGCGTTGGATCCCAGCGACTTTGAGGCCACAGTTGCGAAAAGTTGCGAAGCCTCAAGAAACATCTTAGTGGCAAACTGGCTTCCTGAATGTGCAGATATTTTCCTGGAATTCAAGAAAAACTGGTGGCAGTACGTGCCGAAAAAAGCCACAGACTCTTGCGATCTAGTCGACAAGTTTTTCCGCTGCGTTAACATGCTGCTCAGCAAACAGTTGCGCTCTTTGGTGATGAGAAGCCTCGAAGCCTTCAAGAATCTCCTGGTCACTTTTAAGGTATCAAAATTGTCGGCTGAATGAGACTGTGGAGCCGAAAAGGCCTTTTCCAGCAAGGAAACGACTATGAGGGGGAATATTATGATCTGGCGTTGACAAATTTGCCCATCTTGAATGTGGAGGCTCTTCCCATAGTGGGAACCAACCAGCTGGTTCTGAATCCACCACTAAACAGTGTTAAGGAAATGCTAGTTCGCTGTTTGGAGAAAATATTGGAAGTGAATAAGGGCATTTTGAAGATCGAAAATATCATGTTTCCCGGTATGGTCAAATGTTGCTGGAATTTCCTTCATCTTCCTGACTCTTCTGTTATAGAAAAAGCGCATCAACAAACCTACTTATACTCAGTATATGAAAACGAAGAGCCGGTGCTGAGCATTTTTGACGAAGTCTCCGATGCCTTTGATGCCAACTTGGTCGGGCCGGAAAAGTATCTGGTTTTATACGATAAATACGCGTACATTTTAAATGGCGAAGCCGAAAGAGAGTTGCACGAGTTTTTTGGGATTGTGCCGTTCCCTTTCTTGAAGGTACCAAAAGCGAAATTATTTTTTTGGTTTGTGTATTTTRTTGCTATTGGATAAGGGTTTCGGTCGGAAAATCCGAAACAAATTCCCATTCTCCGATTGCTTTCACCAAATTAGTTCAAGTTGAACTGATGAATAAGTGGCGAATGTTCTTAAGACTCCAAAAASTCCCTTAGATGGCACCAGCAATAGTCTATACAATTAAAGCAGAAAAATGAAAATTGAATGGGATTTTGCCGGCAAAAATTGACATTTTAWTATAAACAATATTACTGGGGTTCAGTCATTTATTTAGATATCACAATTTAGTCAATTTTCTTAAAAACGTTTCGGTGTTTTTCCACCATCATCAGTTTGTTCGCCTA